CTGGTTACTCTTTGAAGATGGAATAGACCTGACCTTCAAATTATTTTTGAAGAGAAAAGATAGGCTGTGCAACTGTGGGAATTGTGTGGGTGGACACTGCCTAACCTTTATTAAATATAGCTGCCACAAAAAAGAAAAAAGAGACTCTTTTTAATTACTATCAAAATGGAGAAACCTCAGTTATAATTAAACTGTAAACTTATATTGGAAAAGATTTATGAGGCTACTGCAGAAATATGTGCTACAATGAAAGAGTTTACTACAGCATTAAGATCCAGAAATCTCACTTCAAACATTCAAACTGATGTCCAGACTACATCTGACTATTCTATAAATCAAAACATATCAGAAGAGGAATCAACAGAGATAAAAGAGGAACTTATTTTATCTTATCAACTTTCTATCTGTAACTTTGAGGAACAGAAGAAGCAAAGACTAAGATTTGAAACTACAAAGCAACAATGCTTTAAGGATGAGAGAAATAGATGCCTAATGCAGAGGATGGGATTCCTATCCTTTCGAAGGCCACTGCAAGCAACAAAAATAGATCTACTGGCTGAAAGAGAAGCTTGGTTATGGAAACCTGTCTGGCACAGAAAAAAAGCCAGAATCAGACTGAAAAGAGAAATTTAAAATTGTGTAATGGATTAAAAGGCAATGTTGGATTTATGGACTGTTTTAAGGATTAAGATTTAGAGTTAGAAGTAAGAAAAAAATATAGGAGGGTGATTATTAGAATAGATATTTTAAATAGATTAAGAATGTACCTTTTGGAATAATAGGTTTATTTTGATGAAAATTATTATGCATTGGAATTGAAAAAATGTTGACTTTCTAGATTTGGATGGTTTCAATAATTAACTGAGTGTTTAAATGAGTAAGATGACCTTTCTGTATGATAACATAGATGTGATAAGGCATGATAATCAATTGGATAAAATTTGAATTTTGTTTAATGAATTAAAATGGTTTAAGGTTTAACATTATTTTGTTATCTTAAAGAGATTGATCGACTGGGATTATATATGTATAGGGTAGATTAATATTTTATTTTAATTAGGATATCTATTGTGTAGTGGAAGAAGAAATAAATGAGATTGGTGATAAAATGAGGGATGTGAGAGATTAAGAATTAGAATATATCTGGAAGGGATACCTGAATTGATAACTTGTTGATTTAAAGTTAAATTTGATTATGGTAATTGTAAACTGATAAAAGTTTTAAAACAGGTTTAGCAGTAATAGAAATTTAAATTAGAAATGGAATATTTTAAACGTATTATGCTATTTGAGGGAAATAGAGAGGGGACAGTGAATGTATTGAGTTGAGTTGTTTATATATCTTTTCACTTTTAAATGTTTGATTACCCAAACACTACGGTGTGTCCTGAGTACTTTTTCTTAAGAATTAAAAAACCAATAAAATGTGTTTTTAAAAAGAAAAAAGATGGTCTGTGCAACATAATGAGATGTGTCTCATGGAATTTTTCTCTGTGTTGGTTTTATTATATTTAATTCTTCATTAGCCACAAAACCTATTCATCCAGCATTTCTTAAGAACATTGAAATTAGCCACATACTTGTTCTGGACTGGAACGTAGCTGACAAAAACCGTAGAATTAAGCTGCAAAAGTAAAAGACTTAATCAACATTACTGGGTTAAAATGTCCATTTGTAGCAGTCTTTGATTAAGTTGTGAATTGCTTTGCCTTGACCTGGGTTTGAATGGGCCAAAACTGTTTTATCACAACAAACTACAAATTATGGTTTGCTAACAATGACTAGATTCATAACAAAGCACATGATTAGTGAAATATGTGAAACCTGTCTACAATTAGCAATGGAATGCTTAGGCTGTGATGTTTAAGAAGGTGGTGGTGAGAGAGAGGGGGGGACGGAGAGAGAGAGAGAGAGCTATCACTGCAGAATAGATACTTTTTTAAAAAGTTTTAAAAATTTAGCATGTGCTTTATTAGTTTAACACTAGGACACACATTAGCAATAGCACTTAGACTTGTAGACTGCTTCATAGTCATTTACAAAACTTCAACTTTGCTCTCTGCAGTTCTGGAGAGTAGAAGTAGAAGGTCCTCATTTTCAGATGACAAGAAGCAATTTCTGAGGAAGGTTAGAACAGTTTAGTGGTGGGAAGGGTAGCAATAGCACTTAGACTTATATACTGCTTTACAGTGCTTTACAGCCCTCTCTAAGAGGTTTACAGAGTCAGCCTATTGTCCCCAACAATCTGGGTCCTCATTTTGCCAACCTTGGAAGAATGGAAAGCTGAGTCAACCTTGAGCCAGTTAGGATTGAACTCCTGGCAGTGAGCAGAGCCAGCCTGCAATACTGCATTCAAACCATTTGCACCACCACAGTATAAGATTTTGTTAAAGATGTTTCCTGTATTTGTATCTCTTTATATTGCAAGTCATCAAAATTAGTATAATTGAATGTTACCCTACTAACAAATTAAATGTGTTATTCCCCACCTCAAAATTATCTTATTTCTAGAAAACTTAGCATGCGTACATGCTTACTTTTTGCCCTATCTTATACCTACCTATTACCCTTGATTTTTTTTTATTGGAACTAAATAAACTTCCTTGAGTTTAAAATTGGTATCAGAGACATGTTAGTTGACGTGGGTATAATATTAAGTATTTGGTAGACGTTGAAAATTAATTTTTTTAGTCACGTCACCTTCATTGTGCAGCTCCAACCCAAGGGAAAGTTGGAGCTGCACAATGATAGAGGATAGAATTGAAAAGCAGGGGAATATATAGTACTCATTTTAATGATAGAGCAAGGCTGTGGTCCAGGAAGAGTAACACCATAGCCATGTGGATGATGGATAACTCTATTCTAATTAAGTTCAAACAGATGAGCAATAATTCCAGATTGAAGTAAGCCATGAAACCTCATTGAGTGCAGCACAGATGTTACTTGGAATTTAAAAAAGGCTTTGGGTTGCTGTATTGAAAAGCTTATATAAACATTCCTATGGCATTAATAATCGAAGCTGAACAACTGTGTTGGTGATCAATTAGTTTAAAACTATCTCAAACTGAACATTGAGTTATCAAGACTGTTCTGTTGAACCTGCCAGTGTCATTTTAATTCCAGCAGTATGTGACTTTTTTCTTTATTAAGAAATGAAACAATACTTTCTATGTTCAGATCTCCTAAGAAATAATAGGACTTGTGTTATCTGGCATATCTCATATGTCTAAAAACTGGTGTGATGAAAGGGAAAAATATAGTAATCTAAAACTAGATTGCTTTATAATCTGATAGCAGGTTAGAGAGTCCTCTGGTTTGATTTGAATTGATTTTACCAACCTATTGTGTTTAATAATGCTAAGATTAAAGAGCTGGAATGTGTTCTTTCTATACATTGCTTTCTATATGTTGGTTCTGGCTAAGAATTTTGCATTGAGAGATTAAAACCCACAAGTAGGTATTTTAATGCAACCTGTGAATTTCCAGGCTTATTGAGAATTATTTTTTATTTTGTAATATAATGGGCTGGTTTTGGAGATATTCCTTTGGAAATAAATCAGGAAGATAAAACCAGCTATCAAATAACAATTTTTAAGAATTTAAAAATAATTATAGCACTAATAGAATTAATTTAGCACTTAATAGAATAAGATAGCACCTAAGAGAAATAAATATACTAAAACAGTATTCCCCAGTCCTCTATGCTCAAACTGATATTTCTACTGAGATGTGATGTTAACATTGCTACTGCAGATTGGAGTCTTCATTTCTTTATTACAAAACAAAATTAAACATTTTCAGTAGTATCTTGGTAGCACTTAATAAACTGACATTGTACTGAACTGGGGGAAAAGAATAATCAGGAATTTAATTCTAAAGAAAAAAACTGGAAGGGCAACATTAGAAAAAGGGGCAGCAGTATTATCTGGATTGTTTGCCTGTCAAAATCAAGTGAATTCATCTTACACTAATAAATCTGTACAAGTAATTCTCAATTTATGAGTACAATTGGGACTGAAATCTTGGTCTTTGAGCAAAGCAATCATTAAGCAAGATGCCCATGTGACTGCTTTGCTCAGTAACTGCAGTCCCTGCACCCCCAGTTGTAGCCAGTAAATGATCTCTCAGGACATTAAGCAAATAGAGTGAAAGAGCTGCCTGCTGGAAGATTTCAGGTCCATGTGGAGCTGAAACTCTCCCAGCAGGCAGCCCTTTTGCTTTCAAACATTCCTGTAGCCCACATGAGTTCAGCTCCTCTCCATGCATGGAGGGGAAATCCTTTGAGGGGGCTGCAGGAATGACTGAAATCTTCAGAATCTATTCCTAAGGTCTCATGAAGAGTTCCTCTGTGCTCTGAGGGGGAATCTTTCAAAGACTGGAAAAATAGAGCTGAAATTCAGCCCCATTCCTGCAGCCTGCCAAAGGATTTCAGCTCTCCTCCATACCCTTCACTTGCAACTGTCCTTTCCAGCTTCCATATTGACTTATTACGGAAGCTGGCAGTTGGTGACAAATGGTAGTCATATGACCACAGGGCACTTGGCAAATAGTTGTAAATGAGAGTCAGTTGCCAGGTCCCCAAAATATGGTCATGTGACTGGGGGAGAGGAGAAACAGATGGAAATGCTCTTTTGAGGCCATCATAACTTTGAATAGTCATTAAACCACCGGTCATAAGTCAAGGACTATCTGTAACTATATATGAAACTGGTTTTCAAGTGAAAGAATAAAAATTTATAAATAGCAGCATTGGCTTCAAAGGAGGTATGGTGTTTAAGTGGATGCACATGATATAAAAGCAGACAATACTATAGTATAATCTGTATGTGCACCTTTTGTCTGATTCCTTTTCTGTAAAAAAAAAAAAAAAAGATTGGTGCCATGGACAAGCTGATGGAGCTTGTCTTCTGACAAACTACCTGCAAGTGAAATGTTTGCAAATGTCTTTGCAAAGAGAAGCTTAAGAATAATAAATCTATTCTGTCTGCTTTTCCTTGCAGCCTAAAAGATGTAGCTTTAGCCAAACTGGGGGATTTTGGAGTCCACATGAAAATAATTGCAGCTCCTATCAACCCGTCAGACATCAATATGATTCAAGGTAACCTTGACATAATGCACATTGTTTAATTTTTGCTTCCCATATTCTTCCTTTATATGGTCCTGTCAAGTGAAAATTAAGCCTCTAGATGGTCCACATTTAATAGTATTCCCAGTGAGATACTACACAGGATTGACAGAGTTAGTTTCCCTACAGCTGCTGCTATCTTCATCAGTTCAGCTTAGGCTATATTACTGTGCAATCTCTGGAAACATTCCTAAGAATCATTAATTAAGTTTCTATATTTGGAAGTTGCCGCATGCAGAGTGCCTCTAAAATAATGATGGCAACCTAAATAGCAAAGCTATATAATAATATACATGCTATCTATAATGTGGTATTATCTGCATCAACTTGGAAATGGCTATTATACCAAAGATTAAAGAAGAGATAAGAGAATTATTTCTTGTTTGTGGAAATACAGCTGTCTATCGATCCTGCAGGATCTTTGCTAACCAGTCACCAGATCTAATTGGCTAAGAAAATTAGGAAACCTAGGGAAAGATTTCAGCCACTCCATGCCCGGATTCACAGATTACCTTGAGCTATAATACGATTTGCTTGATTTAGATTTTTCATATGTGAACTGTTATATTTTTTTAACTATAGTTTATAGCTTACGGTTACAATTCAATTGTGTTTTAAGAAGTAAAATTATCTAAAGCTTAGCTTAATGGGATTAATTAACTAAGTTATAGAACATTTACTCCATTAAAAATCCCTCTTCCAAGATTGAAAACCTGCCCATTTAAGAATGCAGCTTCAGTGTGGCCAAAGAGATTGTGGACCCATGGCTTAAAGCGATAAGTGAACTAATTCAGTATTATTACATTGTTGAAATCTACCTTGAAAAACTTTATGACTATATAAGTTATGTGCTATTGTAATTTGCTCCAGAATAAGAAAATAACGTACATGCCAAAGCAAGTTTGAATTAATTAATTCATATCCCAAAATTGTTCCTGTTGTCTTACAGGATCCTATGCCATTCTTGCTAACTTACCTGCAGTTGGAGGGAACGAAGGAGTTGGGCAAGTGATGGACACAGGAAATTCTGTGACAACTTTGAAACCAGGAGACTGGGTGATTCCAGCTGATGCGGGACTTGGTGAATTTTTAACTTTTTGGGGAAGGAATTGAAGCAAAACACGTATTTCCCTTTTGTCTAGTCCCTCTGCTGAGTCTTAAATCTTTGACTACAAATTGTCATGGCCAGATTATCACAAAAGGCCAAGTCAAAGCTGAGGAAACCATTTTGTAGCATAGCCCAATGTGTGAAGCATGGTGGTTGTTTGGAAACCGGAGTTTATAACTTAGTATGTTGTACTAACCCAGCGGTTCTCAACGTTTGTGTGACGGCGACTCCCGTCACAAGGACGCGCCACGCATGCACGGCGCCGCCCTCTGAGGGGGAAAAATGGCGGATCGCGTTGTTTGGCGACCCCCGTAAAATGGTCGTTCGACCCCAAATGGGGTCGCGACCCATAGGTTGGGAGCCGCTGTACTAACCCAATCTTTTCAATGATTTATCTGTTGAGTGTTTCTTGACAATATTTTAGGGTCTCTTCTGAGAGCTGAGAACTTCCAAATTGTGATTAACTGTTCCACAACTGGAATCATGTCTTTTTTTAATCTCTTACAAAAGGAACTTGGCGAACAGAAGCAGTATTTGATGAGAAAATTCTGCTGAAAATCCCCCCAGATATTCCATTGACTTGTGCTGCCACACTGGGTGTTAACCCCTGCACAGCTTATCGGATGTTGTGTGATTTTGAGACTTTGGATCCAGGTAAGTATGTAAGTGTGTGTGTGTACATATGTAGAATTTGTATGATGGCCCAACTTGAAAATTGTAGCTTTGGGCACCATATAGGGAAACATACAAAAACCCCACATGGTAAACAATCCCAATTAAAATCCAGTAAATATTAATAGATGAACAATTCTCCATATGATTATCAACTCCAGTCATCCTTAGCCCCACATTTGAAGAAAAAGGCAGGGCTTTTTTTCAATGCCAGTAGGATCACGGCCAGAAGGATATTGTGGTCAACGGCACTGAAAACTGCTGAACCATCAGGGAGAGCCAGAATAGATGTAGTACCTCATATTGGTGCCACCAGAGATCATTGAAAAGAGTGACCAAGACTGTCTCAGTACAATATCCTAGGCTGAATCCAAAATGAAAAGAATATGGGCAATTCAGATTGATGTAGACACCCTTTCTTGCACTTCCTGACCTACATGATCTCCTTCCAGAAATATTTTCTCTAGCTGACTAGAATTAGTTCACCTTTACTGATGTGAACATTTGTGTTAGTTATGATTGGTTAGGCAAAGGGAAATTAAGGATTGAGATTTATATATTTTTATTTCATTTAAAAAACTGGGCCTTTTTTTAATAATGCAAGATTTAATGGTAATTTAACATTCCAAAGATAGGTTACATACTTGAGCAATGGTCGGTTCTGTATACTTGGCACTACTTCATGCAACTTTTTGCACAAGTTGTTCTGGGCTTTGTCATTCATCTTTTGATAGGCATGCTAGTGAGCAGAAGCTCTAGCACATTCTCCAGCATGATGCTTGTAGAATCCACCGATGGTAATCTCAGCCTTCCTGCTCACACGAGACTAAGTCAAATTTAGCCACGCCTCCCTCTGGGTGTGTCTTTCCAGTTTTTTGACTTAGTCTCAGCTCGCTGGACGCAAGATTTTAGGCTCCTCAGCTAGATTAGGTTAATTAGTAGCTTAGTTGAATTTCTAATTGGAATTTTAATTGGATTTCTTTTTGGCTAATTCTACATCATTGTGCTATAATTTGGAACCAAATTGCAATTTATTGGAGGATTTGATCTGGTCTCTAGGCTCCAGCGAGTCTACCAGGCTCTCTTGTGAGCCGTTCCAGGCCGATCGTAAACGGGGCTTTTAGCCTCAACTAGCTGATCAGCGAGACCGCTGAGCAGCTGGCTTCAGGAGGTTTGCAATCTCTACGAGGCTCGGTTTATCAGAGGTTTTCCTTTCTTCTCAACGGCAGCCATTTCAATTGTGCTTTGACGCCACGAGGTCCTCCTGGAAGCAGGCTCTCTACAGATCGCAGCGGATGCTGCACGACGAACAGCAAGTCATTGATTTGAGAAGGGGGGGTAGAAGATTTACAGTATTTCCCTCCCAGTCTGGCTAGTAAAAGGGGTTTTCCATTCAAAGCCATCATAATTGTTAAACATACAAGCACGGCCGCCATTTCACCGCGTGCTCAGAGTGCGGCCGCCATTTTGATTGGTTGCCTCAGGCACTGACGCCATCTTGCAGGGACCTCGTGTTTTTTAGCAGTTCCTTTGGGCCTGCACTTTTATTGACCGGTCTGCTGTGGCTGATCCTTACAGGGGGGAGATATATTATTGCGTTCTAGAATCCTGAGTATTATCATAGTCACTTGTGACTATTTATTGCATTGTTGATTATTCTATTTTTACTCTCTGAAGTTCAGGTCTTACTCCTTTTTTGCTAGAGTGATATATTGAGTGGGGGAGGGGTTTATCTAGATCCACCTGTTCCACTTAGTTTGTGGCACTGTGCCACAGGCCTGGACAGGCAGTTTTAGTAAACTGTCTGGCTGTCTTGCCATTGTTGTTGTTCAGACTGTGGGTTGTTTTCCCTCTCTGACAACCAGATCTGCGTGTTTGGGCTCCCTCCACTTACGGGTATTTCCTTTGGAATATCCTGATTGCAATGGCAGACAGTGCCTCGCCCCAGGCAACATAAGACACTGATATTCCCCCCGCACAAGCACAATCAAAACGCAAATCAGCTGATTTGGAAGGGGGGGGGAAGAAAAAGGCTAAGACAAAGCATTTGGCATCTAAGGAGACTTCTAAAGCAGCCGAGCGAGAGGCCTCGAGGAGACACCAGGCGCTGGAGAGGGAATTCTCCAAAGCTCAAAGGCTCATGTCCAGTGAGGCTGAAGTGGTTCCCCCCGTTCCATTGGACCGTTTTCCGTTTGAGCCCCCATATGCGCCTTCACATGATGCCCCTAGGGCATGGTCTCCTCAGGGGGAAACTTAACAGGTTGCCCCCCCCCGCTCATCCTCTTCTTCCTTCATGCAACAGAGTCATGAAGGCACACAAGCCTCAACTGCGGCTGGGGCCAGTTCAGAGGACCAACAGAAGCTGTGGTCAGATCAGTTTCATGCTTTCATGCAACAGGCATTTACACAATTTATGTCTTCTTCTAGGAATCAAAGATCTTTACAACCTCCACCTCCTCCATCCATTCCTCCTTCGCAAACGGGACGTGTCACGGTTCCTGACTCTGGTGTCTCTGAGACCTCTTCACAATTAGGCGAGGAAGGGTCAGTGGACCTGGAGGTAGCCAACCTGCCCATGTCAGAGGATGAGGAGGCAGAGCCAGAACAAGCACACACTTCGGGTCTCTTTGATCCTTCTCTTTTTAGATCTCTACTTATGAAGGCAGTTACTACAGCTAACCTTTCTTTGTCACAGGATGACAAACCTTCCACCTCCACCAATCAGGAATCTAATCCCCTGTTTGCAGACAAGGTTGTGGAGGAAAAACAGATCCCCTGCCTGCATGTATTTCGGGCTACGGTGGAAAAGCAGTGGTCATCCCTGGCCACTTTTCCTCCTCCCAATAGCACTGAAAAAAAGCTATTCAATGTCTCTTCCTCTTTCATTTCTCTCTTAGAGGTGCCATCTGTGGACACTCCACTAACCTTTTTATTCTCCACATCTGCTATTCCAGGGGATATGGCAGAGGCTCTGAAGGCAGAGGACAAGAAGTTTGAGTTCTCCCTGCGCCGAGCTCACCAGGCTTCGGCATGGGCAATTAAGGATGCAACTTCATCTTCGTTCTTTGCAAGAGCTTCTATCATGTGGCTCCACGAACTTCAGGCCCTCGTTCCCCCTGACCAGGTTCGCACTCATCAAACTCTGGGTAAGTTAGTGGCAGCATCAGAATATACGGCAGACGCCTCGCTTCATTCAGCCAGGTATTCCGCCAAATCTATTGCAGCCACTGTTGCCTCTTGAAGATTCCTGTGGCTCAAACAATGGCGGACAGACTTAAAAGTCTAAGTGGCATCTGTCGACAGCCAAGTACAGTGGCACACATTTGTTTGGTCCAATCCTTGAACCACACATAATTGAGGGTAAAGACAAACGCAAAATTCCCTCCAAAAGGTCGGATAGATGACCTCAGCAGGATTTCTGTAGACAGACCTTCCACCCCAGTGGCTCCTGGGAATGGAGGCAGCCTTTTCGGCCCAGGCAGTCCTGGGAATGGCCCAGAGGCTCACGATCCTTTTTCCCTAAACAGGATCGCCAGCAGGACTGCCAGAACACTGGAGCCAAGGGCCAATACCAATCCAAACGTTCCTTCCAGGGTGCAGGGGGCTGTCCCTTCAGACGGTCTAAGTGACGCCAGGGACGAGTCTCCCATAGGCGGTCGGTTGGGGCTATTCAGTGACATTTGGGAGGTCACCACCACCGACGCTTGGGTCAGGGAAACATAAAACAGGGTCTTGCCTTAGAATTTATCTCAAATCCCCCGGACCAATTCATAAGGTGTCCAGTTTCAAGAAACCCGTCAAAGGAAAGATTGGTAGCCACAGCCATCTCCCACCTGTTAGAAATCAGAGCAATAGAACAGGTACCAAAGGAACAAGTGGGACAGGGGTTTTATTCTATCCTGTTTGTGGTTCCCAAAACATCAGGAGGTTGGAGGGTGATACTGGATCTAAAAGGTCTAAATTACTTCATAAAATACAAAAGGTTCAAAATGCAGTCCCTAAGGTCCATTCTGGCCAGCATCAGAAAAGGGGATTTCTTAGCCTCCATAGATCTGACAGAGGCCTACTTACACATCCCAATCCTCCCAGAACACCGCAGATTCCTACGGTTTTGTTACGCGCACCGGCATTACCAGTACAGGGCTCTTCCCGTCTCTTCAGCTCCAAGGGTCTTCACGAAGATCCTGGCCGTATTGGCGGTCCACCTCAGGATGATTCCGGTGCGCCTGCAATGCTATCTGGACGACATTCTGGTTCAGTCCAGCCCTTTCAGGTTGGCTCTGACAGACCTGGAAATTACAATCAACATCCTGCAAGTCCACGGGTTTTCCGTAAATTTCAAGAAGAGTCACACCACTCCCACAAGGCACCTCCTTCATGTAGGGGTGATAATAGATTCCAATCTTTGCAAGGTCTATCTTTCTCAGGAGCGCCGGATCAGCATCCAGAAACTAGTACATCAAGTTCGGAGAGAGAGGTTAGTTGCCCTGGTCCAGCTGTCTCAACTGCTAGGAAAGATGGTCTCTTGCGTGGGGATCGTTCCGTGGGCCAGACTTCATTCCAGAAGCCTTCAATGGTTTCTCCTTCCCTTCCAGAAACAGAACCTCAGTTCATCCGCAAAGAAGGTGAAGGTTCCTCACCACACTCTTTCTTCTATGGTGGGCTTCATCCGCCATGACCAAGGGGACCATCTTCAAGGAGCCCCCCAGACTTGTTCTGACCACAGACGCCAGTCTGTTCAGGTGGGGCGCACATATGCAGACTCATCTGGCGCAGGGTCAGTGGTCCCGGTCAGAGTCATCTCACAACATAAATTGGCCCGAACTCAGGGCTATACGCCTGGCACTCTGTCAGTTCTCCTCTGTTGTGAAGGGACAACACATCCTCATTCTGACGGACAACGTGGTCGCAGAAGCTCACATCAACAAGCAGGGAGGGACCCGGTCTTGGTCACTCATGCTGGAGGCCCTAGCTCTGGGTCTGTGGGCAGAGTCCAATCTGGGCTCCATCAAAGCAGAACACATATCGGGGGTGGCAAATCAGCAGGCACATTCCCTGAGCAGGGTCCAGGTCGACCACTCAGAGTGGAGTCTGGATCCGGAACTGTTCAGGGAGATCTTGATGAGATTCGGTCATCCACAACTAGATCTCTTTGCCTCTCCACGAAACTCGCAGCTCCCCAGGTTCTTTTCCAGGTTTCCCACACGGGGGGCGGAGGGAACAGACACTCTCCGGTGCAGGTGGCCGGGGGGTCTGCTTTACGCCTTCCCTCCCCTTCCCTTGATACCGGCAACAATTCGCAAGTTAATTCAGGAACAGGCCGAGATAGTCTTAGTTGCTCCACATTGGCCACGGCGTCCGTGGTTTGCTGACCTTGTGGATCTATCACTTTCACCACCGTGGAAGATTCCCCCAGACCGAGTGGCTCTCAGCCAGGGGAACCTTCAACATCCAGATCCACAGTGGCTCCAGTTAGCCGTCTGGCACTTGAGTGGGAAAGTTTAACTAGGCAACATTTTTCGTCAGGGGTGATCTCAATGATTCAGGCTTCAAGATGCCCTTCAACTAACAGAATTTATGATGCCACGTGGAGGAATTTCTGCACATGGTGCGTTAAGCAACATCTCAAACCACTTTCAGTCACCATCCCTAATATATTAGACTATCTTTTGGACGGATTGAATAAGGGATTATCACCTAACACCATCCGTAGGCAGGTGGCAGCATTATCAACGGTCTTGACGTGCGATAACCTGGCTCCCTTGGCACAACATCCAGCAGTCAGCGCGTTTCTGAAAGGGGCAGTCAATGACAGACTACCACCTATACATCGGTATCCGTCTTGGGATTTACCTAAGGTTTTACAAGCCCTGACTTCCCCACCCTTTGAGCCACTCAGGTCTTGTTCCCTTCAATTTCTTTCCTTAAAGGTGGCATTTTTGGTAGCTATTACATCTGCTAGATGAATTTCGGAATTGGCGGCACTCTCGGTCAGGAGTGATTTATGTATCTTTTTTGAGGATAGGGTGGTCCTTCACTTGGACCCTTCATTTACTCCGAAGGTCAATACTTGGTTCCACAGGTCCCAGCACCTGGTTCTTCCAAATTTTTGTCCAAACCCGTCTCATCAATTGGAGAGACAGTGGCATAAGTTAGATGTACGCAGGGCCCTGTGTATTTACATTAAGAGGACCTCGGTTTTCCATAAGTCGGAGGCCTTGTTTGTGTCTGTCCAACCTTCTGCCATGTGTCAGAAGGTCTCCTCTTCGACCGTAGGTAGATGGATCAGAGCATGCATTGCTCGAGCTTATACTTCTCAATCCCTTCCAGTTCCTGCACACATCACTGCTCATTCCACGCGTAGTGCAGCAGCGTCCGCGGCCTCGTCCACCCAGGCATTAATTGAAGAGATCTGCAGGGCAGTGACTTGGTCCTCCCCTTCCTCCTTTGTAAGACACTATAAGATTAATCAATTTGCAGCGACAGATGCCGCTTTTGGTAGGTGAGTTCTGCAGCAGGTAGTGTCTTCTCATGAAACACAAGCCTAGACTTTTCCCTCCCGGTGGAGACATGAATGGCTTTGGTATGTCCCACCGGTGGATTCTACAAGCATCATGCTGGAGAAGGGGCGTTATCTTACCTGAACGCCTTTTCTCAGCATGATGATGTAGAATCCACGCCCTCCCTCAGAGCAGTCTAGGCCAGTGTCAGGATTGTTGGAGCCAGTGTGTCAGACTTCGTCATGGATGCTTCGCCTCGTCAAAAACTGGAAAGACACACCCAGAGGGAGGCGTGGCTAAATTTGACTTAGTCTCGTGTGAGCAGGAAGGCTGAGATTACCACCGGTGGATTCTACATCATCATGCTGAGAAAAGGCATTCAGGTAAGACAACGCCCCTTTCCAAGAAATATTTGGCCTCAGGAATAGTCTTTTTAGGGGCCTTCATTCTGACTCAGCAGGCTTGTTTTAACCATTTTTGAAATGTCTGTGGAATTTCCAACAATGGTGCTTGACGGAGTAGGAATAAAGTACAAATAATGTCTTCATTTGATTTGTTCATTTTAGTGACTAATGAAATCTAAAGTTCAATGGTATGTAGGATATCATACATTAATTGTTAATTTGGCCCCTTTAGAAAACCTGCCGGAATCAATGTTTGAGCATAATCCAGAAAAAAGTTTTATCCAAGTGGTTCTTGATGGCCAGGAATAAGAAAGGGCAATATGAAATATGAGTAGACAAATAATTGTAACTGGGATTGTACACTGATTTTTTTTGCAAGATATTTTTTTATCCTCTTGCAAATTTGTGACTTAGGCTGTATTTCTAGTACTGTTTCTTGCTATATATAGGCTCTTTTTGAGATTGCTTTCATTGCATGTGTGTAATAGTGGTTTGACAAAGATGTCCATTACCAAACCATCACCACCAGACTAACAAAATGCTTCATATGCCATTAAGAGTTTGTACAACAATTCATAATTGAATTTCCTTCTCTTTTTCTAAGGCCTATTTTTAAATTGGGAATAAAATGTGTCAGATGATATGAATTTCCATTGGCTGTGCTATTTTCTCCAACACACAATAATGACGAGAGTGTCTTCCACTTGAAGGAACAGGAAATAAATATTTTTGGAGCCAGAGATGATATGTCTGTTTGTCTGTAGGGGAGTCTATCATCCAAAATGCAGCCAATAGTGGAGTGGGACAGGCTGTAATCCAGATTGCAGCAGCCAAGGGCATCAAAACAATAAATGTAGTAAGAGATAGGTGAGTGTGTAATAAAACTGTTTTTCCCTCTTTTTCTTTTTTTTCTGTTGCTTTTACACAGTCCGATCCCTTTCATTTATGCTAAATCTGCACAAACAGGACATTCTCAGATGCCTTTTATTCAGATGGAGATGATATGACTCCTAAATGGTATTATATGATGTTTATAAGGTTTTTTTAAAAAATTGCTAGTTTGAAGCCTTGGTAAGACCACACTTGGAATACTGCATCCAGTTTTGGTCACTATGTATGATATAAAAAAGATGTTGAGACTCTGGAAAAAGTGCAGAGAAGAGCAATTAATATAATTAAGGGCTGAAGGCTAAAACATATAAAGAACGGTAGCAGGAATTGGGTTTCTCTAGCCTAGGGAAAAGAAATACTATAGGGAAGACATGATAGCAGTCCTCCAATATTTGAATGGCTGCCGCAAAGAAGAGAGGGTCAACTTATTTTTCAACTCACCTGAAGGCAGGACAAGAAGCAATGGATTGAAACTAACCAAAGAGAGAACTAACCTAGAACTAAGAAGAAATTTCCTGACAGTGAGAAAAATTAATTAGTTGGAATGGCTTGCCTTCAGAAGCTGTGAGTGCTCCAATATTGGAAGCTTTTAAGAAAGGACTAAAGAGCCATTTTTCTGAAAGGGTATAGGGCTGTGATGGCAAATCTATGGCACACGTGCCACAGGTGGCATGCAGACCCTCTCTGTGGGCACGCGCCCCATCGCCCCAGTCCTAGGCCTTCATCTGGGTTTTATAAAAACTTTTTGCTTTAGGCCTCCGCCGCCGTGTGCAAAAAAAAAAAAAAAAAGATTCAATCAACTCACAGGAAAAAAAAAGATCTCACAAAGTTGGAATTGATTGATTGAACTTTTTAGTCCCACCCAATCTGCCGTTACCACCACAGCTATGCCCACCCAATGGGCCACACCCACCCAATGGGCCATGCCCACCCAATGGGCCACGCCCATCCGGCACCCGATGATACATAAGTAGGTTTTGGGTTGTAGTTTGGGCACTCAGTCTCTTAAAAGGTTCACCATCATTGGTATAGGGCACAGGTCGGCAACCTGCAGCTCCGGAGCCGCATGCGGCTCTTTGAGCCTTCCCCTGTGGCTCCCAGCCTCCTCTGCCTTTGCAGAGAGAGACAGAGACAGAGAGAGGCAATTGCGCTTCCCTGCTTCTCTCTCTCTCTCGTGTGTGTGTGTTTGTGTTTTTTTTTGTGTGTGTGTGTAAAAGAGCGTGCACTGTTCTCCAAGGAGCTGAAAAGCTCACTGGGTGGAGCTCCTCCCTTTGCTGCGTCTCTGCAGGAAGCAGGAAGCAGGAAGGGCAGGAGAGAGCTAACTAGCCCAGCTAGGCTGACTCAGGAATTCTGGGAGTTGAAGTCCATGAGTCATAAAAGAGACGAGGTTGCTTACCCCTGAACTTGTTGGACAACAGCTTGAAGCTTGCCAGGTGAGCAGCAGATAGGAGGGGGGGAGAAAGAGAGGGAGAGAAATAGAGAGAGGGAGGGAGAGAGAGAGAGAGAGAGAGAGAGAGAGAGAGAGAGAGAGAGAGGAAAGAGAGAGAGAAAGAAAGAGAGTGGGGGAAGAGGAGTGGCAGACCAAGGGCAGATAGAGAGGGAGGGAGAGAGAAAAACAGAGAGAGAGAAAGACCCTTTTGACATCTAAAATGAAGATAACACGGCATATATCCTTTTTTTTAACCTATGTGTATATGTAATTTTATTCTCTTAAAGCATTCTCCTGGTGATCATTGTTTTAATAGTATGGATATTCCCAAGAGTCATATTTTTACTTTTATTTTTAATGTCATATTTTTACTTTTATTTTTAATATACACACATACACATATATACATACACACACACACAAACACACACACACCTATAATAAAGGTAAAAAAGGATATATGCAGTGTTTTGTTTTTGGTGGGAAACGGGTCCAAGTGGCTCTTTGAGGTTTTGGGTTGCCTACCCCTGGTATAGGGTCTCCTGCTTGAGCAGGTGGTTGGACTAGAAGACCTCCAAGGTCCCTTCCAACACGATAATGATGAACATTGGGTTTCATTAGGCACATATAAAGGTCTCCAATTTATATCTGAGATGATGTATTTTTAATTTGAATGCAGGCCTTTAAAATGAGAATATGCTTTGGATTTGATCTGAAAATATTCTTTTGTGTAGGTGTGGGCACAAATGTAGTGCTTGTCTGCAGTTCCTTAAAACAGCTGAGATTTTTTTTTCCCTGAAATTGAACAGCAGTTGTGGAGAACTTTATCTAAAAGCTTCAGGCTTTTAGAGTTATTTGATGCTATTTTTTTATTCATAGCAATTGATAGATTTACTCTTGACTGCAAGCGTTCTTTGTTTCTGAACGAGGGCTGTCTTATCAGCAGTTGTCTTCACAGAAGAAGTCTCCTTTTGTAGAACATGCATATAGAAGTGATCTGGCTGATAAGTAGCCAAATGACAAGCTGTCTCCTGAACCACTTCAACAGTTGGCAAATGTTGTTACTTGTACATCACCTGACTCAAGCAGCTTATTCCAAGCTAGCTTCTTTAATGACTAAGTGTAAAAGGACGAAGAAAGGTATTTTTTTATTGCTGAAAATTGACTCGGGTGATGCAAGAGTGAGAATATTGATAATGTGCATTCCCATATCAATTTAATGTTCACACTTCCCTTTTGTGCCCCATCAAATAATTGGCTTCATTTGATTCTATTTTTGGCTCCACAGACCAAATCTCCAGGATCTTATAGACAGACTCAAGTCCCTTGGAGCAGACCATGTTATCACAGAGGAGATGCTAAGAAAACCAGAAATGAAAGATTTGTTTAAGGTATATATGCTGTGGCTATGAATGAGCCCAAGGAAACAGGATTGCTGCAGTCGATTGGATCGTGTTAGTTACCTCTTTCCCACAAAGCCATTTTAGTTTGTTTGGTTTGATCCTACTGTTTTGCATATACAGGTAGTCCTCGACTTACAACCATTTATTTAGTGACCATTCAGAGTGACAATGGCATTTAAAAAAGTGACTTATGACTGTTTTTCACACTTATAACTGCATCCCTGTGGACACATGATCAAAATTCAGGCTTTGGCAACTGGCATGTATTTATGTGATCACCATTTGTAATCTTCCAAGCTGGCTTCCAACAAGCAAAGTCGATGGGGGAAGCCAGGACCCCATGATTCATCTAATAACAGTAGTGATTCACTTAACAACTGTGGCAAAACAATTATAAAATGTAGCAAAACTCACTTAACAACTTCCTGTCTTAGCAGTGGAAATGTTGGGCTTGATTATGGTCACTAGTTGAGGACTATCTAACCCTAATCCTTGTGATTTGAATCTTAGTATGCTATGAGGACCCAGGCAGTCTTGTAGAACCTCAAGGAAACATACAAGGTCACACAGGCAGTGAGAAAGAGACCTTTTAGAATGACTATTGAATACAGCTGAGAAATGAGGCTTTCAGTCTTCTTTCCCATGAATAGTTTATGGATTAAATTCTTCACAACTCTGATGTAACAACTGCCAAGTTTGTATCAGAAAACACAGGGAAATGCTTCTTGTTAAGAGCCAAGTTGTGTTTGGATCTACAACACTGAGAAATCTCTAATCTTTAGATTTTTATTACTGCAAAAGATTGAAATGAAAACTCCAGATGGGTGTTTTAGGAAAACAACAGAAAAGAACTCATATGGGTGCTGTTTCCTTACTGATTATTTTTACAAACGTTCTTTCTGTTCAGTTTTACCATTTTGAATTATAGATTGAATTTCAAAGGAAATACAAAATGGACAGGCAATAGATGTAGATATGGATGTTGAGTTGTGCAATAAAATGTCAGGATATGTTGCACATTAAAGTCCTCTTTAATGAGACAGACTGATTGGAATTAGAGGCAAGTACATAATTTACTCTCCTCTGTCTTCCCTCTTTGGTTCAGACTGTTCCCTATTTATGCCACTCTGCAGAGAAATAATTTCCAGAATCCAGATAAAAATGCTCAATACCTACAGGTGGCACACAGTGATATGGCCCTAATAAAATGCTTAATGAGCAAAATCAACAAAACTTTCCTCATGCTTCTGGTTTGCCTTGCCAGATATGAACCCAAGCCACATATGTTTTGGCATTTCACGTACTAGCAGTCCTCGACTTAACGACCACAATTGAACCCAACATTTATGTTGCTATGTAAGATACTTGTTAAGTGGATTTTGTCCCATTTTATGACTTTTCTTGCCACAGTGGTTAAGTGAATCACTGCAGCTATTAATTAATGAATCTGACTTTCCCATTGACTTTGCCCATAAGAAGGTCGCAAAAGGGTAACATATAAAGAAAATTTATATAAAATGTTTTATATATGGCATATGACACAAGTTCGATTAGCGAAAATGTTTAAAAATGTGTCGAATGCTTGCTGGAAATGTAAACAAAAACCAGGCACTTATTACCATGCCTGGTGGATATGCCCTAACGCAAAGAAATATTGGCTTAAGATTCATAGATGGCTGGAAAAGATGACAAAAATACAGATAGAATTTAAACCGGAATTGTTTTTGCTAGGAGTAGTAGGATCTAATTATGGTAAAGAGAATGACTATTTAATACTACATGTATTAACAGCTGCAAGAATAGTATTCGCCCAATTTTGGAAAAATGAAAATCTACCATCTGATCAGGCTATAATTTTGAAAATTTTGGACTGTGCAGAAATGGATAGATTAACTTTGGAGATGAAGGAGAAGGAAGATTCAATTTATTTCAAAACTTGGGAAAAATTCTATCGATGGTTAGAAATACGCTAGAATACAATCAGAACTTAAAATTGAATTGAATCTTAAAATTGAATAGAATAAATGATAGGCTCTTAGCTAAGTGTTATTTCTTAGATTAATAATAGTTTTATTATTAGTGATTTTAAATATTAATGGTGGTGACTAGAATTAGTTGATACGTTATTAAGTATGAATATTTATTTAGAGGAATTTTACTTATCTAATTTTAGTTATATGATTATAGTTAACTTTAGAGGAATTTTACTTACTTATCTAATTTTAGTTATATGATTATAGTTAACTTTATCTTTACAATTGTTTAGTATTATACAAACTATGTTTATTTAATATTTAGATCCAGATGGTAGCTTTTTTGTTAAAGCTTGGGATTATTATGGGGGGTTACCCCATTATTGTACCTTCCCTTATCCTACCCCAAATTCCCATTCCCATTCTCCTCATACCTGTATTGACCCTATCTTTTCCTTACCTATATAAAACCTAATAAAATATTTATATAAAAAAAGAAGGTCGCAAAAGGGGATCAAATGTCTTGGGGACACTGCAAACTGTCATAAATATGAGTCAATTCCCAAGCATCTTGAGTTTTGATCACGTGATGCTAGGGATGCTGCAATGGTTGTAAGTGTGAAAAACGGTCATAAATCACTTATTCCAGTGACGTAACTTTGAACCTTCACTAAATGAAGTGTTATAAGTCAAGGACTAGCAGTATAATCCTTCTTAGTTCTGCTGTTTCTAAACACACCATGTTACAGTCAGATGTCTGCCTTCCCATTCTATGCTGAAAAGATGACTGTAAGACAGAAATCTAAGAACTACTTAGCAAAATCAGACATTTATTTCTATGAATAATTTGGAGGACTTAAGGCAGGAAGCAACTTGTTTTCTGTGCTCTTTTGTTTTTGTTTTGTTTTACAATTTTGTTCTCCAGGAAATTCCTAAACCCTCGTTAGCTCTGAATGGTGTTGGAGGGAAAAGTGCTACTGAGCTGATGCGTCACTTGCGGTAAATTTAGCTTTTGTTTGCTTGAATTATATCTATAGTAATTGTTTCACTCAATTTAAATGCTTACTGGGCAATTTGTTTTTAATTTTCATTTGGATTATGAGTTGCCTAAGAAAAGTGTTTTTGAAGCATGGCATGCAAACGCCCTTAAATTTGCTATTATGGATTAGTACAAAGATTTGCTGTTTAATAGTGCAGTTTTTTACTGTCTGAATTCTTGTCTTGAAGATGACAATTTTGCAATTGTATTGAATACTGTCCAAAAGATTTTGCTTGTGTGACATTGAAGAAAAAAATTAAGAGGCGCTTAAAAACCTCATGACAAACCTATTTGCCCAGCTAGCAAGCTGCCAAATGCCAGTGAAGGTTGAAGGATTTTGTGCTGCTTCTGAAAAATATTTAAACTTTATAATTTCAGTGAAATCCAGCTCCATAGCTCTGGAATAGTCAGAATAGATCCTTGTATCATCATTTCACTGTAGTAATATGAATTTACTGTGTATTAATATTGTTTTTAGCAAATGTAATGTCATTATTAAACAGGAGAAGGAGAATGGTATTCTAAGCCAGTTCCCAGAATTCCAAGGTTTTTAATAGATCAAAATTAATCTGGATTTTACAATTTAAAGGATTCACTTGAGAGTGCTTTTAAAACCTGATACCCAACATGAAGCCACCCCTAATGTTGTATTTCAAGAAGTTTTGAATCAGAACCACAGGGAAAGGTTTTCTGTGAAGGACAGCTATGTTGAAGATTTTAGTGAGATGTTGGAAGAGAGCCCTTTTTGGATTTCTCACCACACTTTAATCCAGTGAACCCTCCAGGAAAGGGCAGTGTCCTGCTTCTTGCTCTGAACCTCTGAACTGCATGGTTTCCAATTAAAAGTTTCAGAAATTAACCAGGTGCCGAAAGGCTGAGGAAGCTGGACAGTAAAGCAGGGTCTGAATGAAGGTAGTTTTCCTACTTCGTTGCCTTGATTCTTCCATTAGGCAAAGTGGGACCATGGTTACCTACGGTGGGATGTCAAAGCAGCCTGTGACAGTCCCTGTGGTGAGTAGCCCTAAAGTTTTCTGGCCAGAGTGCACATGTTCCCTTTCCTGAGATAACACAGGTAGTTCTCAACTTATGACCACAACTGAGCCCAACGTTTCTGTTGCTAAGTGAGTTTTGCCCCATCTCATGACCTTTGTTGCCACAGTTGTTACATGAATCAGTGCAGTTGTTAAATTAGTAACACTGTTATTAAGTGAACCTGGCTTCTCCATAGACTTTGCTTGTCAGAAGGTCACAAAAGGGGATCACATGACACCAAGACACTGCAACCGTCATCAGTAGGAGTCAGTTGCCAAGCATCTGAATTTTGATCATATGACCGTGGGGATGCCATAATGGTCATAGGTATGAAAAATGGTCGTCACTTTTTTCAGTGCCTTTGTAACTTCAAACAGTCACTAAGTGAACTGTTTTAAATCGCGGACTACCTGTACACTATTTCTGTTTGTGCCTTAGGTTTCCCAGTTGTTAGAGCAATATCTCTTAAGAGGAAACACATTCTGATATCCCCTTATTGTGATAAATTCCCCCCATCCCAAAACTGTAATTTCAGAAGTTGTGAATTGTAATTCCTCTGCAGAGCGCACTGATCTTTAAGGATGTCAAACTTTGTGGCTTTTGGATGACCCAGTGGAAGAGGGCCAATGCCCAGAGTAAGTGGCATGTGTGCATTGTTTTTATATTAGGAACTGATGAAATCTGCCTTCAGCTCCAAATTTCTCATCTCTCTCATTCGGTGGATTAAAATGCATGTGAAATAATCTGCAGCCAATGAAAACAAAACTCCATACATGACAATTGAAAGAGGGCTGAGTATACTAGAAAAATAAAGCTATGGGAAAAGACACTGTTTCCTTAGCTTAGTGAAAAGGGTTATAGCAGAACATCTGTGATCTGACGCATCTCCAGTCAAAAGTGAAAGAAATATTACTGTTAGAGATATGGGTTGAGTTTAATCAATTGAGTTAGTCAGTTCTATACACTGGATAAAATAAATATACTTGATGATACTCTGCTGGCCAATTTATAATGTTGGGTTAGGGCAGGGGTAGGCAACCCAAAACACTTAAAGAGCCACTTGGACCCGTTTCCCACCAAAAACAAAACACTGGGAGCCGCAAAACCATTTTGATATCTAAAATGAAGATAACACTGCATATATCCTTTTTTACCTTTATTATAGGGGTGCGTGTGTTTGTGTGTGTATGTATGTGTGTGTGTGTGTGTGTGTGTATATATATGTATATGTATGTATGTATACACACACACACACGCACACAGGTAAAAAAAGGATATATGCAGTGTTACCTTCATTTTAGATGTCAAAAGGGTCTCTCTCTCTGTCTCTCTCTCTCCCTCTCTATCTGCCCTTGGTCTGCCACTCCTCTTCCCCCGCTCTCTTTCTTTCTCTCTCTTTCCTCTCTCTCTCTTTCTCTCTCTCTCCCTCTCTCTCTTTCTCTCTCTCTCTCTTTCTCCCCCCCCCTCTCCTATCTGCTGCTCACCTGACAAGCTTCAGGCTGTTGTCCAACAAGATCAGGGGTAGGCAACCTCGTCTCTTTTATGACTCATGGACTTCAACTCCCAGAATTCCTGGGTCAGCCTAGCTGGGCTAGCTGGCTCTCTCCTGCCCTTCCTGCTTCCTGCAGAGACGCAGCAAAGGGAGGAGCTCCGCCCAGTAAGCTTTTCAGCTCCTCGGCACACACACACACACACACACACACACACACAAAAAAAAAAACACAGAGAGAGAGAGAGAAAAGCACACACACAGAGAGAGAGAGAGAGAGAGAAGCAGGGAAGCGCAATTCCTCTCTCTGTCTCTCTCTGCAAAGGCAGAGGAGGCTGGGAGCCGCAGGGGAAGGCTCAAAGAGCCGCATGCGGCTCCGGAGCCGCAGGTTGCCGACCTGTGGGTTAGGGGGTTAAGCCTCTGTGAATTACAAAAACACATTATGCACTTCCCATAATCTTGGAGTCTGTTTATTCCTTTCCTAATTAAAAAAGATAATTCCAATTGTATCATGTATTGAACTTTTTGGTATTGCTGATTTTTGTTTTCAGGTTGCATGAGAGCAATTTATTTATTTTATCCACCATGTAGATTTGCCTAATTCAATGGATTCTGGGCTTACAGTATCTTACAGTAAAAACAACCGATAAAAAATCTCCACTAAAATGACATGATCCAATAAAAGTAGCAAAAAAACAAAAACAAAAAACAAAAAAGAACAAGACTCAATAATACAAAAAAACTACCAGGGCCTGGAGAAAAAGGCTGGATTAAAAAATGGCAGGGTTGGTTCAAGACAAAGCTCTGGTGAGAATATCATTCCAGAGGGGCAGGCAGAGGAGATTCCAGCAGAATTTATTGTACCAATGATTATTATTCTCTTAAATCTAAACCAGGGGTCTTCAAACTTGACCCTTTTATGACTTGTGGACTTCAACTCCCAGAATTACTCAGCCAGGCACACTCATAAAAGGGCCAAGTTTGAAGACCCCTGATCTAAACTCAGTAGTTCAGAAAGAAAGAACAACTGATGATTTACTTTCTGCCTTTTTTTCTATACACAGGCAAAGACAAGCTGGAAACAATGATAGCAGATCTGTGCACTCTCATTCGAAAGGGTCAGTTGGTTGCTCCTGCCTGCCAAGAAGTCCCTTTGGTAGATTACCAAGCAGCTTTGAAGATTTCCCAGGAACCATATGTATCAGTTAAGCAGATCCTCCGGATGTGAAGATCATCTGATGAGAAAATAACAGACAAGCATGTTCAGTCCCAGAAGGCCTGAATGATTCAGCATTACAGAACCGAAGTGATTTATATCCTCATGTCCATCTTCCGGCTCAACAGGGACAGACAGAGGAGTGGGGAGCAAACAGTGCAGGCTTAACATAGAGGGGAAATCACTATCCAATATCAGTGATGGCATGGGAGCTAAAGCAATTTTGGTTTCTACCCAACCAGGGAATCCTTGTAGACTTTCTCTTTTTATTTTTTGTTTTGTTATTAAACTTATATGGCATCCATCAGGCCAGAGACAACTTTAGGCAGCTTGATAGAAGTCTGGAGAAACAAAGAGACATTTCAGCCCATGGAGGATCTGTTCGCAACAGCTCTTATCTTGGAAATTCTTTCATCTATGCTGATGTATGTGTGCACACTCAGAATATTTACTAATATACAGTGTGATAAGACTTCCTCAAGAGTGAAATGAGATGGGACAGATGGTGGTCCCACTGGGGTTAAAGACTTTGTATAAATCTCTCTCTGATTCTGCAGATTATAACGAATTAGGTAGGTTTTTAGTATTTTCCTCTTTTACTGGCATAGGATGCTGTCAACAGTCTTTGCAGCCAGATCCTTTTCTTTCCTGAGCGAAATGACTCTTGACAAGTTAGTCATTGAGCAGGAAAATCATGGTGAATGCATTCAGCTTCAAAATTAGTTCTGTGGCTTCTGAGGTAACTTTCCCCAACTTCGTATTTGATTTTCATAACTCTTGGCCCACACAACTGATCCTCATGCTGGCTGGCAAATATATGACCAAGTCCAAAATATTTGGGATGGAGAAGAGTTTTCCAAGCTAGTGTTTCTCAACCCTGACAACTTGAAGATGTATGGACTTCAACTCCCAGAATTCCATATATTGAAGTTTCCAAGTCCATCCAAGTCAAGTTGAAGTTCACACATCTTCAAGTTGCCAAACTTGAGAAACACTGTTCTAAGCCATTCTTATGCATTTTCAGAGATGTATTTTAAAAGCAGCAGCAGATGCTAAAAATAGAGTGATCTGTACAGTAATATGCAACAAGGGAAACTAGCTTCACTTAGTAGATTTCTTAGCAGCTCCTTTTCATTCTAATGTTAGTTTATTAAAGATGGATGAGTAATTAGCCCATCAAGGCATTTTCCTTGGAGCAGCCAGCTCGCAGGGGAGTTTCTAAACAGCTGCAGTGTAATTTGAGAGCCAGGATGGATCAATTGTAGCCTGCAGCATCGAAAGTCCTCTTTGGGATATAATGTCGGAAAAAGAACAGTTTTGAATTGGTTATGATGGCTGTAACTGAGATGAAAGCAAATTGCATTTGATTACAAACCTGTTCTTGCAAAATCATACAATGGCTGTTGAAATGTCAGTGATTTTCATCTCCAATAAAGTGTTTTAGCTCTGATCACCGATGAGATTTTTCCTTGGCCTTAGTAATAGCAAATGACAGCCTTGAAGCCCTTCAATTGCACAGTGTTGCTGCATCAGTTTCGAATCTCTTCTGCTGTACTGGTTTAATTGTTAGTGTCAGGTTTTCAGACATTAGATTTGATATGTAGGAGTCTTGTGCTCTTATGCGCAAAATGTAGATAGTGAAGGTGCTGGACTTAAACAAATGCATGGCATGATTATAATGAAATGTTAGGTTGGTCCTACATAAGTGTGGCACAGCACAATAAAGCCATATGTGCATTTTAGTTTTGAGTGGCTTTGGTTTACTTTAGTATGGTTTGCATTTATTGTTGCATAGCTTGCAGACCTGTTCTGAAAATGATCTACCCTCTTGCTTCATTTCAAAGGATAGCAGGCAAATGGAAGAGCTTTATATGCCTTGACTGTAGCCATATTACTCAGATCTGGGATTCCTCCATTTGAAAATAGATTATTTGAGGGCTTACTTGAAAGGAAAAAAAGCAATGTTATACTTCTTCCTTTAAATTTAAATGCTCCAGTCCTGGTCATGTTCCCTTTGAAGCTGGAGAGAGAACTCTAAGAAAACTGTTGGGAAGCACTGTTTTAGTGCTCCAAGATGCCAGAAATTGACACTCTGGCATTGAAACCCTGTTCCTTTTTCATTTGGCTTATTGTGGGGTTGCAGCCAAGAAGATTGCAAAAAATCAATCTAAAATGGAATCCTCCAAGAAAGAGAAGACAACAAGGAGGGTGGGGGGAAGAAGGAGGGGAGGGGAAGGCAGAGAAGAAAGAAGAGAAGAAGCCTAAGCTCGAAGAGGAATTAAATGAGTATGAGCAGACCTTGGCAGCCTAGTCCAAATCCAAAGATCCTTTTGCTCACCTCCCCAAAAGGTAAGGACCCCCAGTTGCTTGGAGAAGGGATGCTGCAGACTCAGAAATGAATGGGATGACTTCCACTCCGGGAGTTTGAGGCAACCTGGAAAATGTCCCACGGTACTCTTTGGCCAACTGCAGGGGCAACCTAGGAGGTCAGGCCTGAATTTGGCTTCATCACAATAATTTTAGATATGTCTCAATGATATTGTCAACGCTGTTAATATATGATATTATTGCTTTGACAAGATATACAGAAGTGTCTGGTAATTTTAGAGTTAATTCAGATGACAGAGTGAGGGAGGAGATTCATAAGGAAAGCCCGGGAAAAAGGAACGGAAGTGAATCTTTGCCCTCCGGGCTATTTGGAAGATGTGACTTATGACTGCAAAATAAGGGAGGGGTTTAGAAAGAAAAGTTAGACGCAAGCAAGAGAAATTCAGATTCTGGCATAAACATCCATGATGTGCTGTCGATTTGTTACACTGTTAATAAAGACTTTAGGATAAACATGCCTGGAAGTTCTTTGAAGTGTTTCATTAGTCGGAACCTTGACATCATGCTAGAATCCATAAATTTTTCAAACCAATTAAGGGGTCCTGAACTCCAATCACTATTCCTAAACTAAGGGGTAGACTGATAAATATTCGGGGAAGATCTCATGGAAGGGGAGAGATGGCTTGAGGCCAGCCCCTCAGCAGCAGCAGCTTCCCCAGGGAGTGGAGCAGCAGCCAGCCAGCCGGGGGAGGAAGAACTCTGGCAGATCTCCCAGCTGGGAGTAAAGACTTCAAAAGCAAAATGGAGAGATAACGAAGTTTTGCGTGAGTCACTGGACAGATTTCAAACCCCAGATGTAAAAGGCAGAAATCGATTCCTGCAGAGAGAAGCCTACAACCCCTCCCTCGTAGATCAGACCCTGGTTCCCCCAGCCAGGAACTGCAGTCCTGAAGACGGGGAGTCCCAGACTGAGGCCTCTGCAGCAATGGGTAGATTGGCACCCTCCACAGGTAGATTGGCAGCAGCAGCTGAGCATACCACAGCTAATAGAGGCCTTGCAGCAGCTTGGGGTGGTGCAAAAGCCAGGAGAGCGACAGCCAGTGGGTCCGCAGATGAGGGAGGCCCAGCAACAACCCCCACTCGTCCAGCAGCCATTGAGAGGACTACAGCAGCAGGGGGCACCACCAGCCCCCACTGGCCAGCAGCAGAAAGCTCAGCAGCCGGTGGATCAGCAGGCAGGATGGGGCCAACAGCAACTGGGAGAGCCACAAGCGCAGAGGGGAGTCCAGCAGCTGTGGAACCAGCGACCAGGGTGGGGCCAGCAACAACAGTCCCAGTGGGGGCTGCAACAGCCTGTATTTGCACCACCTTTCAGAGCAACTTTCGATAGGGACCCAGAGAAGCTGATTTTTTTTCTGAACCAAGTGCATTCTCACTTGAATCACTGGGCCTATCTCTATCCGGACCCAGGTGCCATGGTCGATGTTATTGTGTCCAACCTAGACGGAGAAGCATCTGAATGGCTGAATAATTTACATAGTGAGCAAGCCCCCAAACTGGAAGATCCCCACCTTTTTCTCCTAGGACTGAAAAGATTTGAGGACCCATCCATTGGACTCAAAGTAGCAGAACAGATCCACAAAATAAAACAAGCCAGCAGGCCTGCCCTGGAGTATGTGCGAGAGTTTCTCAAGATAGCAGGTTGAATAGAGGGGTGGCCTGAGCAAGCCCTGATCCAACACTTCATTGAGGGATTAGACGATCACCTCTCTCAGGCATGCATCTATCGAGCCATATCTGATCAGCTGCACGAATGGTACCAGGCAGCAGTGAAGCTAGACATTTGGCTGGCCCGCTATAAGAAGCCTCCCCCACGTGAACCCGAGCAGCAACCAGAGCTACACGGACAGCAATCACCCCCACAAAAACCTTCAACTACTGCAATGGATGAGAGACCCAGGCCACCTACAGGCCCATCAATTGTTTTTGGTGTGGACAAGAGGGACATCGAGCGGCCACCTGTCCAGTCCCCTACCCCTGACTGCAGAGCAGACCAGCACCAGCAATGAGAAAGAAACCTGCTCAGCGGCTAACGAGAGAAAAATCCAACCGGCTCACGCAGGAACCTGTTGCCCAGATTACACCCCCCACGCAGGAGAACTCTGAGACTCCGGGTGGATCCGTCCCTGCTCTGTCCTCCTTTGACAGCGACGATGAAGGAGAGAACAACCCGATGGTGAGTCGACAAATCCCGCGTTTTTCACTGGCCGCCAAACTTATAATCCCTACGTCTGGGCACAAATGGACTTAAACGTGCTAATTGATTCTGGATGCACCTGCTGCATTAATAGTCTGCCGTTTGCCATGAAAATAGGCATATGGGCAAAACAGCTTTCCAAACCTGTGAGGTTTGAACAAGCTGATGGCTCCCTGATGGGAGGGACTCTTGTCACATAATTAACTGAGCCCTTACGCCTAGAAATAGGTGCACACTGGGAGTTTATTCGCTTCCTGGTGGCTCCAAAAATGATTGAGGCAGTGATCCTAGGGCTAGCCTGGTTAGACAGATGGAAACCGTTTATCTGGTGGGAGAAAGGAATGAGAACCGTGAGACTACCTATAGGACCTAATCCCCCATTGATTCAACAAATGTTACAGGGCACCTTAGGCCACCCAATGAATGAGCGCAAATGGCTCCTTCATTGCCACCAGATGAACCACTCATTCCCAATGACTACTTGGACCTGGCAGAGGCATTCAGTGAAAAAGAATGTGATGCCCTACCCCCTCACAGACCCAATGACTGCTCCATTGAACTGGTGCCAGGAGCCAAACTCCCACAACCAAGAATGTATGCTATGTCCCCCCTCGAAATGGAGGAGATGCAGCAATACATGAACAAAAACCTAGCAAGGGGGTTCATTGAACGGGCCAAATCCACGTGGGAGCCCCTGTGTTGTTCAAAGAAAAAAAAATGGGTCTCTTCGTCTCTGCGTAGACTATAAGGGTCTCAATGCTGTGAGTGTGGAAAACAAATACCCCTCCCCCTCCTAAAGGACTTATTAACCCATCTGGCTAAGGGGAGTGTCTTCACTAAATTAGACCTGAGAGAGGCATATTACCGGGTGAGGATAAAGGAGGGAGACGAGTGGAAAACTGCCCTCAACTGTCCTATGGGGAGCTATCAGTTCAAAGTCATGCCATTTGGACTACAGGGGGCCCCAGCCGTATTTATGCAGTTGATTAATGGGGTTCTACATGATCACTTGTACAAAGGGGTTTTAGTGTATCTTGATGATATCCTGATATACAGCACGAATATGACTGATCACATAAAGTTGGTGAGAGAAGTATTGAAGAAACTAATGAATGCCAAGCTTTATGCCAAATTGTCAAAATGTGAATTTCACCAGACCTGATTAGACTATCTTGGCTACAGAATTTCCAACAAAGGTATTGAAATGGATCCAGCCAAGGTGAAAGCTATAATCAAATGGCAGCCCCCCAGGACTCTCAAACAACTCCAGAACTTTCTGGGTTTTGCCAACTTTTATCATCAATTCATCCCCTCTTTTGCCAAGATTGCCCTACCCCTTACAGAACTACTCAAAACAGGCAAAGGAGGAGGGACGCCACGGCCGGGCCAACCACTAGCATGGACAATGGGCTGTCAAACAGCTTTTGAGAATTTAAAGAGACTATTTGCTGCTGAACCTGTCCTAAAGCACCCCTGCCCAGGGGAACCCTTTGTAATTCAAGCCGACGCCAGCGATGTAACAGTTGGAGCTGTGTTACTGCAAAAGAACAAAAGTGGGGTCCTGCAACCCTGCGCCTACACGTCTAAGAAATTTACTGAGAGCGAGTGGAGATGGGCAATCTGGGAGAAAGAGGCCTTCGCGATCAGATGGGCGCTATTAAACTGGGGACACTATCTAGAAGGGAGCAAGGTGCCATTTGAAGTATGGACAGATCACAAAAATCTAGAAGCACTGAAAACTCCCCGTAAATTGTCCCCAAAACAAGTGCGATGGGCACAGTACTTTAATTGCTTCAGCTTCACTCTAAAGTACATACCAGGAGGAAAAAAACTTCCTAGCTGATGCACTATCCCGGCTACCCCAATACAAAAGCGAACAGGAAGAGATTAACGAGGCTATTATCCCCAATCCACAAACTGCCGCTCAACTTACACTTCGCAGGGTCCCCTGGAGTAAAGAAAATAAAACGAGAGCTCCTCACCGACCAATGGTTCAAAGACAATCAAACCTCCCTGACATGCAGGGATGGCTTGGCTTACAAAGGGGGGGGGAACTATATCTGCCCAAAGCCCTCTGTCTTAATGCTCTCAAACACAGCCATGATGTAAAATAAGCTGGACATTTTGGGTATTTGAAAACCCTATACCTCACCCACC